GAAAAAATCTTTCATTCCTTTAGAGACAGCATGAAAAGTCAGCTGAGTACAAAACATAGAGAGGAAAACAAGAAGAAAAGGGACAAGAAGAGAGGGACACAACCTAGAACAGATAATGGATGTCTATTCTATTAACATATCTACATCTGGAGAATGGGGCTGTTTGATGTGTCTTCTCCATTCAGAGGGCCCCCCTGCCTGTCTTTGCCTAGGGCCTAAAGTTTCCTAAATCCGCCCCTGATAGGAGCATTAAGTTCTATGCCTTCCACCTCTGTTCTCTGTGTGACACCTGCTAATGTTCAGATGTTTGGTTTTATAACTGAGTGCTGCAGCCATTCGCAGCCATTTTTTTTGTAGTTCTTTTCCAGAAGGCTGTAGTCCTAATTTAACCCATCATTCACGCCTGTGTCTGTAAGGCTGTCTGAATTCAGCGCAGCAGTCTGGCTCCTCCCTACCCTGATAGGGCTGACCCCCAGGTCAGCAGAAAGCAGCTGGGATCAGGAGAAAGGAGGGTTGGTGCTGTCAAACACTCTCTGACAAATTCAGCTCCTCCATCATCTAATGAACTGAGCTTTAATATTACTACTTCCAACCTTTTGTGACTGAATGTTTTATTTTTCATAAATCACGGTTACCTCCTATAAGCATGGTGCAAATGGAGAAGATCTTCTCTGAATCCGTGTTGGCAGAAACGTTCCCGAAGCCCACGCTGGTCAGGCTGCTCAGAGCAAAGTAGAGGGCGGTCACATAGCTGCTACGGGTCGACGGGCCGCCAAGCACCTTCAGCTCCCCCGTTTCTGAGATGTTCCCGTAATTCTGGCTGGAGTTCAGGGCTCCTCGTCCTGTGACCTCTGACCCTGTGACGTTCCACTGAGAGCTGTTGGCTGGAAGGCTGCTCACTGTGGCCGGGACAGGCGTCGACAGAGAGGACAGGAAGTAAGGGGTGCCCAAGCGCTTCGCCAGCTCATAGAGCCAACCTGAGGGGAGAGAAGGAAAACAAACACTGAATAAAGCTCTTTAAACTTTCCTCCATTTGACTTAGAATACAGAGTTAAACAAACATCATCCTGAGGGCAGTGGAGTTATTTGGTCACTGGAGACGAATTTCTCTTTTCATTTTTCTCTAAAATAGTTAGTAAAATTAAAAACTATTGTAACAATTAAAGTCTTTTTTTTAAATGACTCAGAGTTTTCTCTTGACTTTCAAGCATCCAGCATCCTGAGGTGAGGGAAGCGTTTTCATGTTAGTTTGACTTTCAAGCATCCAGCATCCTGAGGTGAGGGAAGCGTTTTCATGTTAGTTTGATGTTCAGTATCCCTGGCAGCCTGTCAGGAGATCCTTTAAGGCCGGGCGTCC